TAACGAATAAAATGAAGATCGATAATAAATAAAAAGTCGTTAATTTATTAAATAAGCGTTACAGAAGTTAAAAGATGATTTAAAATCTAAAGAGAAAGAATCTAAGATATAGATGATAGATATATTAATTCATCAAATAAACGAATTACAAAAGGCAAAATAGAGAGATACAAGAAATCAACACATACATGCCACGAGAAATACAACGATCCCACGGTTCATGTCAGTGGAATCTACACTTTGGTTTTTGCTCGTAGACACGACTTCCATAGATCAAATATATCGTTGGATGCAACAAAAAAATATTATATTGTGACCATTCTGGACGATGATGCGCTAGCTTGCATTCGTGACTTAGTAATAAAAAAGGGTTGGAAATGGATGCAGCAATACACCCCCACGCATAGGTGGTGAGAGGGTGGTCCTGGGGACTTGGCCTGAGAGCTGTCACGGTAACCCGAAAAAAAAAAGAAAAAAAAAACTAAGCCCTTGCAGCTGATAGAATAGCAGAGTTTTCTTCAGACATAGTATGTCTCAGATATTTCCAATAACAGATATGATTCTCTCGAGTTCGTACTTATACAATATGTAAGTACAAAAATTAGCCCAAAAATTTAACGTACTTCATAGCAAATCGAATAAAAATGGTAGTAGTCGTAATCAGTCCAACGCAGGGGTAATGCTAATGGTGTCAACTTACGCCGTGCCCTCTTGAGATACTTGAGATACTTATACAGCCCCACGTAGTGGCTGACATCTTTCTCCTCATCTTTTCGGGTGCAATCAAGTGTCTGGTAGAAACTTTTTCACGAACATCGGCGCTGATCTTTCTGTGATCTTAACTGACATGAAGGTACATACAATTCTGACGGAAAAAAAATTTTACGCTGCGAAAAGACAGTCATACGTAACTTCGACGAAGCATTCATAGCACTTGACTTAGAACTTTATCGTCCCATACAATAGAAATTCACTATAGATAATGTTCCATATAGCATTATAGACGCGGATCATACAGATACGGCTCAGTTGTTGATCTACGTGGCTATTGCTTGCTGGATAAGAACTTGAATACTTTCTCTCTTGGTACAATAGAACTAGCAGATTTTCAAACATAACGGTTGTTGATCTGAATTCACGCACAGCAAAAATCGTAAGAGATTTCTTGGAGATCACAGATAATAGTACACTCCATCATGCAGAACCAATGGCACTGAGTATCACATAATAATAACCAGGCCTTCTGTTTGTGAGTGACCTTGCCAACTTTCCCCCTCAAGTTTGAAAATGTGAAAAAAGAGTTCAACGGATTCGAGGGTGGTATATGCAGGTCATTGTCTATTCCATGGGCCAGCCCAATGGTAACGCGCAAAAAAAAGGATGGTTCGTGGAGAATATACATATACACAACATTTAACATAATTATAATTATAATTATAATTCCTGTTTCATTTCTAATAAGTTATAATTTCAGTTTGTATAAGCTAAGTAAATGTGAGAAAAATTAAGTCACACCGACAATTTATTAGGTTAAGATATCAGGGAATAATATAGAAAGAAAAATATTGTAAGGAGTGAAAGTTTTTATTAAATGATAATGTGTGTGCTTAGCAAATCAAATATGAAGCAAAGTTTCATGTAGGAGAACTTTAGATGCCTCTTAAAATCATGTAAGGGGAAAGACAAGGTATGTCACGCTGAAAAAGTATTGGGTTAAAATATCAGAATAATAAAGCGTGTACCCCTTAATTAATACAAACGGCTAACGTTTAGGGGGGCGTATCATGTGGAGGAGCTAGTGCCACGACTCACCAAAAGTATTAAATTCTATAAGGACACACACACGTACGCACGCACACACATACACATACATATTATGTTGTGACTTAGTTAGGGCTTACTACAATATCCCTCAGTCTCCTTACTACCCCTACAGGCACTCTCAGTCCCCCAAAAAATAAAGCAAAACTCTCGAATAACATATGTTATTTTTGCACTGCCTATCAGATAGAATGATCAACGTCATAGTTTTTAATAGTAATAAGACTTTTTTCCAATTTTGTATATTTTATTAACTATAAAAATTTTTTGAAAGATATGTTTTTAAGCTGTTGTTAATCAGAAGGTTTTGAGTGCGTTATATTTTTTTACTGAATAATATTACATGAATACCTTTGATTTCTAAGTCACCTTCATAGGGCACTACTTACACGGTTTGTATTATTGCATAACTAAGTGTTTTTTAAATTTATGTATGTATTCGTATTACGCCATACAAACATATATAAGAAACTAAAATTTTTGACATAATTCGTTACCAACATTAAAAAAAAAGCTTAGCTCATCAATAACTTTATACTTGCTTGTAAGTTGAAATAAAATTTATGTAAATCATTATTTATGAATTTACTCTGAGTGATATAACTGCAATAACTATTAATTATTTATATGCGTAAAGTCAATGTACTTGCTACTAAGGCGTTGTGAAAAAAGAGATAAAATTAAATATTAAAAAGTTAATATTGAAGTACGAATGAGGTCAGTGGAGAGTGGTGGGATATTTTAATAAAAAAATAATACAAGTCAAAATAACGGAAAAAAAACTAACTTTTTGAATTATATTTACGTTGCTTATTGTGTGTTCTTACTGCATATTTATGTCAATACGTGTTATATTAGGGAATATAGGTGTGTGAGGTGAGAATGAAATACTGATAATATTTATAATTAATAAATGAAAAATTTAATGTATATTAAGAATACAGTCGTAAACGGGCGATGCAAGTATATACAGCGTGTGAACAAGGCAGCGCTATGGAGCAGACTAACTGTGAGTGCACAGAGGGCCATACAATATTCATTCACACATCAATACACACACACACGCGTAAAGACTTTGAGTATGTGTATGTATAGATAAACGAACTACATTAACACTTCCGCCGTTCGTTTCAAGATACATCACATATGAACTAAACCTATGCTGCTACACAGATATTTAAAGCGATCTCGCGGGAGAGCCTTTGTGAACATGTCGGCCTTCTGTACTTCTGATGGTACATATTCAATGCAGATTTCGCCGCTTACATATTTTTCGCGTAAGAAATGGTATCGGATGTCAATATGTTTGGTTCTTTTATGGTACTCGGGATTTTTGCTCAATTTAATCGCGCTTTGATTGTCGACAAACAAATTTGTACCTTTCTCACATTGACTACCGATACCGCTCATAAGTTTTCTTAACCATATCAGCTCTTTAGCAGCTGTTGCTGCGGCGACATACTCTGCCTTTGTCGTGCTTAGGGTGACTAGCTTTTGGCGCTGAGAAGATCAAGTTACAGGCCCGTTTGCCAAACAAAATACGTAGCCCGAAGTTGACCTTCTCGTCTCAATATCACTGGCAAAATCGGAATCTGAAAAACCTGTCAATTTTAATGCGCTTCCACCGCGACAATACTTAATACAAAAATCAATACTTCCGACCAAACAAGCAAATATTCTTTTTACAGCTTGCCAGTGATTTTTATTATGCTTATTTATAAATCTACTCAGTAAATTAACCACATACGAAATATCGGGACGAGAAACCGTAGCTAAAAATATAAGGCAACCGATGGCTTCGCGATACGGTTTGTCGCTAATTACCTCGCTTTCCGACTCTACCGCCTTCAATATTACATTCAACTATATAATGCACACAAACAACTATATAATACAGGAAGATATATACGTTTATGAAAAGTGACTTATGCAGATTTGACGTTCTTTGAAAACATATGACTGTTTATAATATAGGCTGTTTGCAAAAGAACGATTCACTTCTCATAACAACGCTTGTAACCTTATCCCCAATTATGTCAGCCTAAAGCAGCTTTGGTCAACATGTATATATCGTTTCTGTATGGATATACAGATAATCATACATACATATGCATATATGTATATATACGTTTATAATTCAATTATATTACTTACGTGTATGCACGTCATACTCAATAGTATGAGGATCAACAAAACTCTCGTTTTCTACAACATCTAACACATAAGTGACATTTTCCAAATCTTTATAGGTTAATCCTAGTGCATTATAAAAGTAAGTTTCTGAACAAAGAATGTTGATAGTTGCTTCTCTGAATTACACTGTTATTTCCTTCCGATTTACTTTAAAACATTTGACTTCCACAAATCTAATGTGTTTACCTGCTCGTTATATACTTACCATGCAACACCAATCTTTCAATAGGGGAAAGTAAAAAATGTATGCAGTGCGTCACGGCATTTGCAACTCATTACGTGAAACGCATGTGGCACTACCAGGTTTTCGTACTGTGGTTATGTAAACTAAGTTGTAATAACGATGCATAATATTTCATGGCGTATTTGAAAATATCTGTTTTGTTAGCTTTTTAGTTTCTATCTATCCCCACTGCTGCTTAACTGACAATACATCTATTCGAAGCATGTAAGGATCACAAATCAGCTTACATAATTTGAGACATAGTTTAAAGCTTATCACTAACTCGAAACAAAGCTAATAAAATAGCTATTTTCGAATAGGCTCACAAGTTCAAGTACGTGCACAAAAATAACTGTTCTTGATGATCATGGGTCCAAACCTAAACTACTACCGATGCAAAATTTTAGAATTTTAGTGATCAAAAATATTTTAACTGGAGCTTCTGATTTTACATGTTTTGCAATGAATTTACAACTACTGCAAGGACTCAGTCACCCAGCTTGCTCACTATGGGCACTTTGATGGGTTAGACTATTACCTCTCATGCATCTGGCAAACGTTGAATATTAAATCACACATTATGAAAAAAATGTTGCGTTTTTTTGGAATTTGTAAAATAATTTTGAAAATATTTAAAAATAAAAAAAAATTATTTGTCTAATAAGTAATTACCATCCAATTATTCAATCAATCGCTTATAGATGCTTAAACACCTGATTTTTCACTTTTTCAAGTGCAACAAATACTCAACAAAAGTACTCACCTTTGTCCTTGCTGAATATTTGACGACTTTACAGAACTTTGAGTTGTAACATCGAATTCATTATTATTGTAAATATTCAATCTTTGCCTTCCGATATCTACGTCGATAGCTGCTGAAGCTTCCTTAAAAAATTTAATTCAAGCCATCAAAACATTAAAATAGATATGAAAGTTTAAAAAATTAAAAAGTTTATAAAATAAATATAAAAATTACAAGAACCAAATTATGTCAATAAAATATGTATAAATATATAAAAATTTGAGAAGAAGCTTCGATGGCTTAGTGTTTAGCATCCTAGCCATCACTTGTTACGATCTAAATATACATTATAAATAATTTCATTTAAATACACAGTAATACCAATTTTTGTATTACAAACACCTCTGTCTAATCGATTAATAGCCTTATAGTTAGGGACACCAACTAAATTTTTTCGCTGATCAATCTATCGTCGGCAAAGTTATTTCTTAAATCACAAAATGAATGTTTTTTATTCATTATTTTAATGATGACTACAATGTTTTCTCTTTTCACGTGACAGTTTAAGTTTTACATAAAAATAACACAGAATGATAGTGATACGTATTATAATTATCAGATGACATGATTTTTATTGTAATATACGTATATGATATTAATTTTTTATCACCATACTACTAAAGGAACTTCTTTCCCACATTGTATTCCCCGTAAGATTAAAAACAGCCAGCGTTGGTCAGCAATTTTTTACAACGCTGGCTGAATAGCGAGCCTTTTCTACAGTGCCAAATTTATAAAAATTGTTCATTGTAATTAATAAAATTTATGTAGGGTTGTGCGACTGTTATTAAAAGTTAATGTGTCAAGATTTTTTATTACAAAACATGCGTAAAGTGATTTGAGAGAATGTATATTTCGTACACCATAGTAAAGGTAAACAAGCAAACCATATTGTATTGCTTTGACAATCAGATACATGAAATTTGGAGTCATATTTTTGTCTGGTGCAGTATCGACGCTATTTTGCTCAACTTTATCGTAGACTCATGAAATATACACGCACTAAAACCACACATTTTTGTTGTAAAGAAGATTTCATAAATAAACCAACTTTACTTTTACTTATTGTGGAAGATTAGGCCAGATTGACTTGTTTGGTATTCATCGAAAAAAAAACCAGGACTACAAAAATAATAACCTGATACAGTGGTACGTGATACAATTATTTATCATCAATAGAACAAACCATGATAATATCAAGGGCCTTTTGAAGATGTTTAAAATGTTTAATGTTTCTTATTTAGAAGTATTTGACGAAATCAAAAACATTAAGAGTAATGGGATCAACAAAAAATAATCAGGTTTATTGCTGCATCAAAGAGTTCTTACTCCCCAAAAAGGATTTAATATTAAAAGAAATATCTATACCATGATATCTGAGTAAATACAAAATTTCACAAAACGAAATTAAATATTTACAAAATAATGAAATCAACAAAAAATCGTCAAGTTATAAAATATTATCCTAAATCTCTATTACGATTATTGCAAAACTCAAAAAAAGTATCGTAGTTTCCCTCGGATAAGTGCCGTCGTCTCCAGGACTATTGTAAGGCCCAAGGGACCTGCGAAGCAGGGCCCGAAGGACGTAAGGTAGCCACGGAGCGATGGCACTTAAATGGCAAATCCTATTTTTCCTACCGAGGGCACACCAGCCTCTCAAAAATGGCCGAAGTCGGAAAAGTAACATTTCTTATCACGGGCACAAAGTGCACCTGACGCTCTTCGATTTCGTTGACTACTTTTTCGAATAAGTAACATTAGAAATATTATACATCTCACAGAAGGTACTTGATATTATGGTGCTCTCTGCTATTAAAATAACCACTGTATCATGTACCTCTGTATTAGGTTTTCATATTTGTAGTCTTGATTTTTTTATCAATGAATACTAAACATGGATATAAAACTCGCCGAACCTTCCACATTCAAATAAAGTTAGTTTTTTTATGGAGATTTCACTTCTTCTTTTTGGACTTCTTGAATGAATCTGTTATAATTCATGAGAATTCAACATGAATAGTTAGTTATAAAATTCATACATCATTATTTTACTTATGGAATACTGGTTTAGTTTATGATATTCTATAATCAAACTTCCCTTTTTTTTTATTAAACTCTTTTAAATACCACCAATTTGATCCAAAAATGAAATATGAAGATCCTCAGCATCATTTGGCAATTGTTTTTTGATGGTATCTTTATCATCGACATAGAACCACTGGCTTTGTTGGCGTAACGCATTTGTATAATGACCTATGATACACTACAGTGGCAAAACACTCAATTTACAATTTGACACTTTTTATTATTCACGTTTACTTTACATGTCGGTAATGCATTTAGGAGTTGATCATTTTAACAATACCTGTACCATTACTTTTTGTACTATTAATTACTGTATTAGTATGTTAATTGTACAACTATTACAGTAGTACTAATTGTTTAGTGTACTTTTTCAATTTTTTTTTACGCTGTGTCTATGCGCACCTTATTTCCACGTACACGCATGCGCCTCGCTCGCTTCGCTCACTCGGAAAAAAAAAAAAAAACTTGGACCTTATAAGTACCGGACAGTAGAGTTACCCACTGCGCATGTGTATCCACTATATCCACGTAATTACGTGGATATACGGTGCGTTTTTGTGCGAATAGACACTAAGTTTTTTTAATTTACATCTTTTATCACAATAAATTTTTATTTCTTGCCAACTTGCAAAACCATAAACTATAATTTTTGGAAGTATACAGCTTTAAGAAGAATTATAATATAAAAAATTTTTTTATCACGTATTCGTTCATCGCAACTAAGACATTGAATTATCACGTTTTGTCCAAGATGTCATAAAAAATAAAGAAAATTTTAAACTGTAATGTGCTAACACGTAATAAAGAGTGATCCTTAAGTGAAATAATTTTTCATAGTCTTCTGAAAAATTAAAGTGATCGTAAATAGTGGGGTAAAGTGTGGCCTTTCACGTATCTGCACGATTTTTTGCATACATAAATTAATAAGACTATGAAAATAATAAAAAAAACTCTTTTCATTAAAACTTTCATCAAAATATGGGCGCTTACAGATGAGAGGTGTAGGACTAGTTTAAGTTTAGCTAGTTGCTGTCAGCCAGCGCTGGCAGTACGATCCCCATGCAAAATACTCATTTATACTTATAGCATTGATAATTTATTCGCAGCGATTGAAATTGTAATTTAGCTATCAGCGTCACGTGCAGGCTCATAATTTTATAAGCTGGAAGAGTAAGTTCTTACAAAAAATAAACGGTGTTAGTAATACTGCTGTATGATTGTTGTCTTACTGTTGAATCAAAATAAAATAGTATTTCTTTAAGATAGTACTGTCGATGCTGACGAAGTCAAATGAGTACTTCACCTTGTATGAGTAACATGGTATCTAGACTTGACAACACCATTCGCTGTTTTTATAGATAAGTAAATACATGGACATAGATGGGTTGTATAGACTTTTCAGGCTTCAGACAAATTGTTTACATGAAAACTCTAGAATAATTTATTCATTTTGGATGCAAGTCTACATTGTCATTGACAAACGTTCAAGTTGAGAAACAAATTGGATTAACATCTATTTTTACTGTAAAATGCGGTATCTATCAAACAGTGAGAAAAGTTTGCACAGACAAAGTACTTTACGTTTCAGGAAAAAATATTATTATGACTTGAATACAAAGGTCACTACAGGTTTGTAATTTTCCACAAATGTTATAATTATTAATGTACACTTTGAAAGTGCATGAAGGCTTTCAGTACATAATTTTTTGTACTTCCAGGGTTCATAAATAGAGGACTAGGAAATACTCATATAAACAAAGTGCTTGCTGCCTTGAACATTCCTGCAATGAACTGGCACACATATCGATCAACTATAGCTAATGCTGAGGATATAAAAAACTATTGTAAGTATAGCAAAAGTGTCCATACTAAAATTTACTACTTATATATATATATATATATCGGGAGAAACATTGCATCTTCTATTATAATATATGATAAAAAAATTTTTTTTCAATTTTTTACTACGATATCAAATTATATAACAATGATTGTTTTAAATGAAATACAATGTAACCATACTGATTTTTATATATTGTGTGATCAAATTAGATAAACTTGATTTTTAATGAATTCAGTAGGTTAGTGATTTCCTATGTTTGAGCTAAAATAACCATTTTCCTTTATAGTGTGAGTATGGAATATCCAAGAGATTAAATGTTTCATACAACCATGTATAAAATTGTTTTCTTCACATCTGATGGTCTATCCATTACAACTCTTTGTCGTTATTTTCCTTTTTTCAGGCCCGCTCACTTGGACCTTTATTTTATTTCTTCTGATACAAGCATACCAAATATTACAAATAAAAGTATTGTACGAATTGCAGCATCTTTCGACATGGGATAGTTCACTCGTGGTACAGGTAGAACATACGACAGCTTATCTGGCACAGCTGCTTTAAGGTGATTACAATACCAAAAAAGTTATTGGCTTTGTCACTTTAAACAGAAAATGTGCCAAATGTGTTAGTGGTCATGCTAAAAAAGCCCATGACTGTAGGTGCAACTTTACAGTTAGTGCAAAGGCAACGGAGCCTACAGCTGCAGTATTACTGACCAAAAACCACCCAATATTAGTAGCATGCAAATTACATGTTGGAATATTTATACCTGACAATGATTTTTGTTCGATTAATGCAGTGCACCAAGCTTGTAATCATAAAGTTTCTAAACAAAGTAACAAAAATCATACAACCAAAGGAGTTGTAAACGCACTGTACAAAATTCAAAAAAGTCATAAAGAATTGGACAGTGTTGCTATTCAGTACCTGAAAAATGTTTCACATACTGCGTATCTCAAAATCAAGAAAACAGTACAGCAATGACAAGTGTAATTAAAAATATACCGTATTATTGTTTTAATATTCACGACGATTGTGGAGATTGGTGCCAGACTCGTCAAGAAAATTATGTGCACTTGAACATTGGCAATGGCTTTTACAGTGAAATTGTATTCGATGCTTTGATAGATATTTTTTTATGTCTATTTACAA